GGGGGTCCCCGCAGCCGGCCCCGAGGCCCACGCCCAGACGGTGAGTTCCCACCCACATCCGGGATGATGGGAGCCAGGGAAAGAGGGTCGTAGAGACTCCGAGGAACTGGAGTGGGAGCGAGGGGGGTGGTGGGGAGAGGAGCAGGGCCACTGGGAGGGTGTGGCCAGTGTGGTCTTTTGTGTTGTAAGAAGCAGGAAGACGAGTGGGAGGCCGAGGATGGAGGGGGAGGTCGAGTGGGAAGTCCCTCCTGGAATCTGACTGCAGTCCCTGTCTCGCAGCCCACGGTCTCTTCTCTTTTCCGGGCCTCGGGCAACAGCTGTTTCGTAGCTCCCCTCCTCCAGCCTGGGTCCCCGGGATCCCGAGGTTTACAGTAGGAAGAAGTGTGGGCTGAGCAGGAGGGCTGACACCTCTGGACTTTGGGGAGGGGGCGCAGGGCCTTTTGGTGTATTTGCATCTCTTTGGCCCGAGCTGGCCCTCTCCTGGTCTCCCCGGGGGAAGGGCCATTGTGCTGGGAAAGTCCCAGTGGGGAGAGGGTGAGTGTTGGGGAGGGAAGGGTTAAAGGTCCCCTGCCTGATGGGCTGTTAACCCTGTGACGCCCGGCAGGGGAAAGACCGTCCGGCTCCCGTCCCTCCCCCATCCCGTCCCCGGAGCCCCGGGAGCTGCAGAGAAAACTTCCCAAGCTCAGTTCCTGGCGGCGGGGCGGGGACCCCCGATTTCCAGAAGAGTCACCGACGTGAACCTGAGGCCCTGGTTTTAGGCTTTAGGAAACCCTCAGGCCAGGACCCGGTGTGACCGGAGTGACTCCGAGGAGCTCGGAAGGGGGTGGGGCAGGAAGGCATCTCCCGCGTCCCAACCCCCCCAGGCCGTGCTCTCTGGCAGCCACAGTCTGGCCTTCTGGTCTCCAGGCCTCTGCCACATCCGGGGGTGTGGCCTCACTGTGGTTGGACACGAGAGGGCAGGAGACCTGAGGCTTGTGACTCTGGGTGGGGTCAGTCGCTGTATCCCTGTGTGACCTTGGGCTGCTTCGAAGGGTGGGCCTCAGTTTCCCTATCAAATACTGCACGCAAGATTTGGCCCTGTTTTGGAAAAGGCCCTGTTTTGGTACTTAGGTCGGATGAGAGGAAGGACTTCCAGGCTGACATGGGCATTGGGCCAGGCAGGTGACCCCAGGAGAGCCGCCTCCTTAGGTCTTCTTCTGGCTTTCTAGTGCCTGGGAAGGAGCAGGGGAGAAATCTGGCTCGAAGGGAGGAAAAAGAAATCTCTAGAAATCAGGCGGGGAGCAGAGAGGAAACCAGGGAGAGGGAGCAGGCCCTGGCGACCCGGGTTCCTCTGGACCTCTGGGCCCCGAGGGGTGGTAGGTGATGACCACGCCCCTCTGCCTCTCCCAGGTCCTCAGCCATCCCTCTCACCCGCCGAGCAGCACCTAGAGTCGCCGGTTCCCAGCGCCCCGGAGGCCCTGGCGGGCGGTCCCACCCAGGCGGGTTGTGCGCGTCTGTGTTTGGCTTGTGTGTCTGGCGTCAGTGTCTGGGAATTGAAGACCAAGTCTCTGTGGGGTCTGTGCGGTGCAGGCGGTGGGTGTTGCTGGCAGCCTGTCTCAGCCCTGTGTGTGTGTGTGTGTGTGTGTGTGTGTGTGTATGCGCACGCCTGTTGGGTCTGAGGGGCTTGTCACTGATCGGCTGGCTCATGTGTGTCATGTGGCTGCGTGTGTGTAGTGTTTATGTCAGTCACGTGAGACCAGTGTTTTCGGTGGGTGCTGGAGGTGTGTGCGCTGGGGCTGTGCGTCTGGAGTTGTGTGCTGGCAGTTGGTGCTGGTGCTCCAGGGCTGGGGAGGAGGGCAGCTGATGTCTGCTGCCCTGCTGGTGGCCTGCGTGTTGTTGCCGGGATGTGTGGTGATGCTGCTGATGACATGTGTGCTTGATTTACATGTGTCCTGGGGACCCAGAGATGGTGACATTCTGATGTGTTTCGGTGGCAAGGCTGTGTGAGTCCTAAGGTGTCCTGGGGGTGTGTCTGTGTGCTGGAGACTTTGAAGTCGCATGCTGTTTTGTGTGTTTGTGCCTGTGCTTGTGATGCTGCATTGTGTGTGTCCCTGGGCATGTCTACAGTGGGTCAGTGTGTGATGTTGTTGTGTGTCCATAGGGATGCAGTGTGTGCATAGTGCTTGTGATGGGCTGCTTGCGTGTGCATGCCTGTGTTTGGGTCAGTGTGTGTGTGTGTGTGTGTCCTGAGTGGGATGGTTTCTGATATGGTGGGGGGGAGGCTGACCAGTTCTGTGGGAGCCCTGTGTGTGTCAGTGTTGTGTGCCCTTCACACACACACCCCCATCCACCCTCCCAACACACCTCTCCATTTGGGACCTGTGTGACCCTTGTGTTTGTCTCCGGACCCTTGCTGCCCTGCTTGTGTGCCAGTCACTGTGTTGGGAAAGTTGTCCCCACCAGCCCATGCCCTGTGTGAAGCCCAGCTAGAGTGACTTTGGGTTGTGGGGCCATCGCAGCCCTCGAAGCACACACAGGCCCACACTCCTTCCACCTGGTCCGTGCCTCCCTGTCCCTCCTGTGTGCCCATCACCGTGTTCCTGGGGGTGTGACCCCCGGGTGGGGGTGGGGTGTATGAGTCCTGGGGCCCTAACCCCTGCATTCCCGCTGACCTCCCGGTGTCCTGCAGGCCCCAGGGAGCGCCATGGCCCGTGCACGCCAGGAGGGCAGCTCTCCGGAGCCCGTAGAGGGCCTGGCCCGCGAAGGCCCGCGCCCCTTCCCGCTTGGTCGCCTGGTGCCCTCGGCTGTGTCCTGTGGCCTC